TCTTTCATGTTGCATTTTCATTTTTCTTTTTTGCATTTTCATTTTTATTCGTCTCAAAAATACATTCAAATTTATCTGACTCATGTTTTTTAGAAGTGTAGTTTTTAGTTTCCAAGTATTTGGAAATTCTCTTGATATCTTCCTATTATTGATTTCTCATTTAATTCTATTGAAGTTCAAGAACATACTTTGTTTTACTTGAATGCTTTAAATTTTTTGACACTTGTTTATTGCTTCATAATATGATCTGTCTTGGTCATTATTTTACATGTACTTTAAAAGAATGTTTAATCTGCCTTTGTTTTATGAGTGTCCTATAAGCGTCAGTGAGATCAATCTGTGTGATAGTGGTGGTTAAGTCTTCTATAGTCTTTTTTTTTTTTAATAAGTTTATTTAAGGAATCTCTTCAGCCAACATAGGCCTCAAACTCACAACTCCAAGATCAAGAGCTGCATACTCTACTGATTGAGCCTGCCAGGTGCCCCAAGGCTTCAATATTCTTACTGATTTTCTGTGTATTTGTTTATATCTACAAATATAATTATAGATTTTTCAATTTCCCCTTGCACTCTATAATTTTTTGCATCATGTGTTTTCAAGGTCTGCTATCAGATGCATTCATTTAGATTTGTTACATCCTATGGACGAATCAGTTCCTATATGATTAGGTAGTTACTGTGTTTATCCTAGTACTATTCTTTGTTCTAAAATATACTGAGCATCTCTTGGTGGCTCAGCGATTTGGTGCCTGCCTTCAGCCCAGGGTGTGGTCCTGAGGTCTTGGGATTGAGTCCCACATTGGGCTCCCTGCATGGAGTCTGCTTCTCCTTCTGCCTGTCTCTGCCTCTCTCTCTCTCTCTCTCTCATTCTTTCTCTCTCTGTGTGTGTGTGTTTGTCTCTCATGAATAAATAAAATCTTAAAAAAATAAAGAAACAATAGTATACTACCATTTCTCCCCTCTCAGTCTTTTTTTTTTTTAAGATTTTATTTATTTATTTGGGAGAGAGAGCATGCACATGAGCACAAGTAGGGGTGGAGGAGAGGTGAGAAGCAGAGGGAGAGGGAGAAGCAGACTCTCCACTGAACAGAGAGCCTAACATGGGGCCCCATAACCTGGACCTGAGACCCACGACCTGAGCTGAAAGCAGACACCTAGCTAACTGAGCCACCCAGGTGCCCTACACATTTTATTTCTACCTATGTTATAAACCCCACAGCATGTTATTATTATTTGTTGAAAATGGTGGACTATTTTAAAAAGAGATTTAAATAAGAAGAAAGAGTTTTTATATTTATTTATGTAGTTATCTTTTCCGGTTTTTTTTTAAAGATTTTATTTATTCATCATAGACATAAAGAGAGAGAGAGAGGCAGAGACACAGGCAGAGGGAGAAGCAGGCTCCATGCAGGGAGCCCGAAGTGGGACTCGATTCCGGGTCCCCAGGATCGGGCCCTAGGCCAAAGGCAGGCGCTAATCCACTGAGCCAGCCAGGGATCCCCCCCGCCCCCGGTTTTTTTTTTTTTTTAAGATTTATTTATTTATGAGAGACACAGGCAAAGACACAGGCAGAGGGAGAAGCAGGCTCCGTGCAGGGAGCCCAATGTGGGACTCGATCCTCAGTCTCCAAAATCAGGCCCTTAGGCTGAAGGCCTAAACCGCTGAGCCACCTGGGCTGCCCACCAAAGAACATTGTTCAAACATTGATAATGAATTCTTTGTCAGCTTTTGTATCTCTGAAAAGTCTTTATTTCACTTTTATTTCTGAAAGGTCTTTTCACTGTGAATAGAATTGTAAATTAAAAGGTTTTTCTTAAAAAATAAATAAATAAAATAAAATGTTTTTCTTGAGGTGTCTGGCTGGCTCAGTTGGTAGAGAATGTAACTCTTGATCTTGGAGTTGTGAGTTTGAGTCTCACATTGGGGACAGAGATTACTTAAAAAAATAAAATCTTTAGAGCACCTTGGTGGCTCAATTAATAATCTGCCTTCAGCTGGGTCCTGATCTCAGGGTCCTGGGATCAAATTCTGTATCAGTCTCCCTGCTCAGTGGGGAATCTGCTTCTCCCTCTGCCTCTGCCTTTCCCCTCTCCTTGTGCTCTCTGGCTCGTTCACTCGCTCTCAAATAAATAATTAAAATCTTAAAAAAATAAAATAAAATAAGAGACACTTGGGTGGCTCTGCGGTTGAGCATCTACCTTTGGCCCAGGTTGTGATCCCAGGATGCTGGATCAAGTTCTGCATCAGGCTCCCTACATGGAGCCTACTTCTCCTTCTGCCTGTGTCTCTGCCTCTCTCTGTGTATCTCAAGAATAAATAAATAAAATCTTTTTCAAAAATTAAAAATAGAAAATAAAAATAAAATCTTTAAAATGTTTTTCTTTGAATATTTTAAATACATTGCTTCATCTCATTTTCATTATTTTCTGTGAGAAAATTTGTTATACTTGTTTTAGCTGTATGTAATATGACTTCTTTCTCTGGTTACTTTTAAGATTTTCTCATTATCATTGGTTTTGACCAATTTGAATATGAAGTGCTATGGCACAGTTTGTTTCATGTTTCTTTTCCTTGTATTTCATCAAACTTTATGATGATCATTATATCTAGCAAATTTGGAGAATTTTTAGCCATTGTCTCTTCAAATATTTCTTCTGTATCTCTCCTTCAGGAACTCCAACTACATGTATATCAGGCCACTTAAATTTGTCCTTCAGTTCACTGATAATCTGTTCATATTTTCCAAATTTTTATTTTTCTTAGTTCCCTTTTAGATGATTTCTATTGCTGTGTCCTTGAATTCACTAACCTTTTCTTCTGAGCTAACTCTTCTGCCATTGAACCTTTCAGCATATTTTTCATTTTAGGCATTGAAGTTTTCATATCTAGAATTTTGAATTGGATATTTTTTATATCTTACATGTCCCTACTTAACTTTTCAAATTATGGAATACAATTATAATAATTGCTTTTAATATTCTTTTCTGCTAATTTTACTATTTATGCCCATTCTGGGTGAGTTTTGCTTCAATTGACTTTCCTCCTCATTATTAGTCATATTTTTCTGTTTCTCTGTATGCCTGGTAATCTCTGATCAGATGCCAGACATTGTAAATTTTTCCTTGTTCTGTGCTGGGTATGTTTTCATTAATGTACATATTTTCAAGCATTGTTTTGGGATGCAGTTAAGTTACTTATTTACAAGTTTGGTTCTTTTAGTCTTGCTTTAAGATCTGTTAGGCAGGACTATAGTCATCCTTAATCAAAAGGCAATTATTTTCAACTACTGAGCAAGACCCTTCATAATAGTGCACCCATCACCCAGAGAATTGTGGAGTCTTCCAGTACTGCTGGTGGGAGTGAGTACTACTATTCCTGGCCTTTTGTAGGTACTGAAAAATGTAGTACAATGAGATCAATGCTGTTCCCTCTCATCCTTTTGGATAGTTCTTTCCCCAACTTCATGTCGATTCCTTACATGCATATGTTGATCTATAGTCTCCTGAATACTCAAGGGAATCCTCTGCAGATCTCTGGGTCTTTCCTCTATGCAATTTTCTTCTATGTGAACCACTGCAACCTTGGTTCCCCCAGACTTTCAGGTCTATCTGCTCAACTCAGGGGTCCCTAGGTCTCTGCCTGAGTTCCCTCTCCCTGGGCCATGGTCTCAATATCTTCTCATGGTAGTAATCTGTGGCAGATTACTCTGCCTTGGAGCTCACCTTGTTGCTTATTTTTTTTTTCCCGACGTCTTGAGGATTACTGTTCTTTATTGCCCAATGTCCAGTATCTTGAAAAATCACTGTTTCAAATATCTTATCTTTTAATTTTGGGCAATGGAGGCAGAAGAATTTAGTTGAGAGTGTAGGTCTGGTTCTATTCTTCTATCTTGGCTGGAAGTGGAAATCCCCAGGTCTATGATAAAATAAGTCCAACAAACAGAGATGAACAATAATGCAAGGTGTTTTTTTTAATAGCCATTGTAGTAGTCCTTTACCAAGGAAAACCTTATTTTGATTTTATACTTCCCATAGAGTCAAAACTTGAGTTTATTTTTGTGCTATCTATTGAAAAAAGATTAACTAGAATACGGTAATTCACACAAGAATTTATAAATATCAGTTATATCAGTCTTGGTTCATTTACTTTTTTCATTCACCTATTTAACAGATATTTAAACACCTATTGGGTAACTATTGTGTGCCAGGTGCCGTGTAAGTCAAAGGAGATAAGGAGGTAAAATAGGCTCACCTTTTGTCACTGCTATTGAGGGAGACAGCCCTGATAGAAAAATATAATACAGTGAGACTGGTGCTGTGGTGGGTAGGTGAAGAGTGCTTCTGAAGCACATAGAAGGGGGTACATAACCCAGACTAGATGTGTGTGTGTGTGTGTGTGTGTGTGTGTGTGTGTGTGTGTGTGTGTTGGGGCGGGAGGAAAGAAGCTAGTCCTAAAGGTTACTTGGAGGAAGTGATGCTTCCACTGAAACCAGAACTAATAGTTTTTTTTTTAAGATTTTATTTATTTATTCATTACAGACACACAGAGGGAGAGAGAGAGAGGCAGAGACACAGGCAGAGGGAGAAGCAGGCTCCATGCAGGGAGCCCCATGTGGGACCTGATCCCGGGTCTCCAGGATCAGGCCCTGGGATGAAGGCGGCGCTAAACCGCTGAGCCACCCGGGCTGCCCAACTAATAGTTTATAATCAGGAGAATAATGACACCCAAACCAGAGTTAGGGACATGTGTGAAAACCAGGTGATGAGAAAGAGTAAGTAGGTGTTCTGGAGATTGCAAGCAGATCAATTGGCTGGCACATAGTGGGCCAGGAGGCTGGGAGATGGTGGTGATATATGGGGCACAGCATATCATCTACAGAGGAAGAACCCTAATGGTGCTTCCTCAGAGAACAAAAATAGGCTGTGACAGCTACTGGGCTCATCTGTTTTATAATCTCAGTGTGTCAAGTTAGGAAATCTATTTTTTAAAATAAAACAGAAAGCACTCAGACTGTGTCCTCTCCCTCTTACTGCCCCAAAGGAGGAGAAAAACAATCATCAATGGCAAAAGCAGTTGAAGAAACAATACCTAGGGCGAGCTTCATGCTCAGGAGAGAACATGGCGTCTCCTTCTCATGGTTTTGGGTACTTGACATGATTAGAGAAACATTCTCTAGTAACAAACTATAGAAATGATCCCTAAAAGTATAGTCTTTTTGTTTTGTTTTGTTTTTGTTTTTGTTTCCTAAAAGTATAGTCTTAAGTCAGGGAATATTTTAACTGAGTCATTGCTAGTTTCACTCTAGTCTAGCAGTATCCATTTGTCTTCCTAGCAAACTCTTGGACATTCTTCAGTGTCCATCCTAAAACTCGAATAAAACCTACAGATGAATAATTCTGTGATCTTGCTAATGGAGAAAGCATGTCTAAGTGGAATAGCAAAGGTAAAAATGTTAAATGAGAGGAGTGGCAGTTGATTTCACAAATGTTTAAAACTTCTGTATATGAAAAGTGCCTGAACCAGAATTAAAAAGTAAAAAGCCTAAAACAAATTTTTGGAAGAAATCTTGGGGTTTTTTAAAGATTGTATGTATGTATGTATGTATTTATTTATTTATTTATTTATTTATTTATGAAAGAGAGCATGTGTAAGCTGCAGGAGGGGCAGAGGAAGAGGGATTCCAAGGGCAACTCCACTTGGAGCACAGAGCCCAAGCAGGGCTCAATCCCATGACGCTGAGATCATGACCTAAGCTAAAACCAAGAGTCAGATGCTTAACTGACTGAGCCACCCAGGTATTTTCTATTACAGTTTAAAATGTGTGACTCAGAGGCGCCTGGGTGGCTCAGTCGGTTAAGTGTCTGTCTTCGGCTCAGGTCATGATCCCAAGGTCCTGAGAACAAGTCCCATGTCAGCTCTGTGCTCAGCAGGGAGTCTGTTTCTCTGGCTACCTCTGCCCCTCCTCTTCCTCCTCCTCTCTCTCTCTCAAATAAATAAATAAAATCTTTTTTAAAAATGTGTGACTCAGCAGTTGAACTTCTATTATTCTACAGAAATACACAACTAGTGCACACAGATCCATGTATGAGGATTAGCAATAGGACTATTTGTGGTGGTAAAGAAAACTAAAAACAACCTAAAAATTCTTCTGGAGAGAATTAGCTGAATAAAGTATGTTCCATTTAGATATTAGAATACCACACTGTTTATTGTTTTTAAGTTAGGTAAATTTATATGCACAGACATAGAAAGATGTCCTAGATGTAGATATAGATACATAGAGAGCTATAGATATCAATACATAAACATACACACAAATAGACCACATCTAAGATACACACATATACACACTCATATTTAGTAATATATGTAGAAGGAAAAAAAAATACAACCAATCTGCTTGAATAAATGTCTACCATTCTATTAGTTTACTTTCACTGCTATAACAAATTACCACAAATTTAGTGGCTTATGATGACACAGATTTACTCTTTTAGTTCTGGAGATCAGAAATCTGAACTCTCACCGGGGCTAACATCAAGGTGTTGGCAGGGCTGGTTCCTTCAGGAGATTCTAGGGGAAAAACCATTTCCTTATTTTTTCCAGTTTGTGGTGGCCACCTGCATTCCTGCATTCCTTCCATCTGTCACTCTAACTTCTTGCTTCCACTTTCACTTCTACTACTAACTCAGAATCTTGTCTCTCTTATAAGGACACTTGCAATCATATTGGGCTCACCTATATAATCTAGAATAGTCTCTCCCCTCAAGATCTGTAATCAATCTGCAAAATTTCTTTTTGCCATACAAGGTACTAGGATGTGGATGTCTTTGTGGTGACATTAGTAAGCCTACCACAACCATTAATGGCACTTTTCTCTAGGAAGTGGCATTGAGATTATACCTGCTTTGTTTGGTAAGGCACAAAGTCAAGAGCTATCAGAAAGAAAACAAGGTTGCTGTCAAACCAGTCTTGGCAGACATGACATACAGAGGATGACGCAAACACATCTTTCTGTTTTCCTTCGGTCCATATGGAATTTATCTCAGTTGGACGTTTGACAGTCCCTCCTTCCTTTGTACTCTTGATCTCTGAACTCCTCCACACAACCTCCCTTGATCCTTTCTACTTCTCTACCCATCCCAATTCTGGTAACTCAAGATTGGTCTTGTCTTCCTTCTGGATTTGCTAAAATTGACCACTTCTCAAAGCATAACTTTGATATGGTATATACCAAAATTACTGTGACCTTAACAGTAATGACCAAATGGGGGAAAAGAGGTGAAAAGGACACTACAACTCCATCCTACCATATAGGGGATCTGCACTATCTATATTCTACATTTCTGTTTTTTTCTAATAATTTTTTTATTAAGTACTTTAGTGCAAATCAAAGTAGTAAAGATTTCCTGTAACAAATGGTTAAAGTTTTCAGTACCTAAAAGATGAATATCTATAATGAGTAAAGAAGAAAAATAATTATCAGTAAACACACAAAAGTATTCAATCACTATAGTAATCAAAGAAATCCAAAATCCATATAAATATCAGTATAGATTGAGGGAGAGAGCAAATAGGCATGCATATAGAACTGGCAGAAGTATACGCTGTTATGAGCTTTCTGGAAAGGAATATATATCAAATGCACTAAAACGTAAGTATTCTTTTATCTAGAAACTTCATTTCTAGGCAGCCCCGATGGCACAGTGGTTTAGTGCAGCCTGCAGCCTGGGGTGTGATCCTGGAGAACAGGGATCAAGTCCCACATCGGTCTCCCTGCATGGAGCCTGCTTCTCCCTCTGCCTGTGTCTCTGCCTCTCTCTCTCTCTTTCTCTCTCTCTGTGTCTCTATGAATAAATAAATAAAATCTTTTTTAAAAAAAAGAAAGAAAGAAACTCCATTTCTGTGAATGATATTCTTAAGAAAAATGGTATCATTATAAGCTCAAAGAGTTAGAGCCAAGATGTTTCATTGCAGGTGTGTTTGTAATAGCAAACATATTGTCAACAATCTACATGATACCCAATAGGGTAAATCAGTGAATCATTTATGGTGTAGTATATAATGAAATATTTCTCAGACATGAAATGTTGTAAAAGTATATTCATTTATATGGAATGAGGTCTAAAAAAAAGAAGATTGTGAGTGTGTGTGTATGTGTGCAAAAGGGCTGGAGGAATACAAATACAATTTTTAACAGTGATTTTCTCTGAGACTTAAACCAGGGGTAGCAAAGTTAACTGCAACTTTATCTGTATTTTCTGAACTTCTCTAACAAAAATGCATCCAAGAATCTATTATTAAAATTATTAAGTTGGGATCCCTGGGTGACTCAGCGGTTGAGCACCTGCCTTTGGCCCAGGGCGTGATCCTGGAGACCCGGGATCAAGTCCCACACTGGGCTCTCTGCATGGATCCTGCTTCTCCCTCTGCCTTTGTCTCTGCCTCTCTCTGTGTGTCTCTCATGAATAAATAAATAAAATATATTTTAAAAACTATTAAGTCAATTAAAGAAAACAAAAATCAATACAGCATGATCCTACTTCTGTTTGAAAATATTTTGAAGAAAAAGAATATGAATAATGCATGTCTTTTAAAAATTTTTAATATTCTAGCCATAGAATAATATTTTCTATTATATTTATTACTTCCAGCAATTTAACGATATTTTTGAAGGACTCAATCTGTTATCTCCCTTGTGAAGCACCAAGTACATATATATTTGAGCATGGATCACGTTCTATTGGAATGATGTCTAAAGGATGTGCTCCTTAAGGGCAGAGGCAGTCTTTCTTACTCCTCTTTGAATCCCCGCAGCTTGGGACTGTATCTGACATCCAGTAGGTACACGATGCTTATTTTTGAAGGGGAAAGCAAGAAGAATGAAAGTGGAGAGGGTAGACAGAAAGGAGTCTGTGTCCTATTCTCCTTCTGGCAGTATTTTCTTGAAAGGAAACTGAGGACAGAGGGGACAATCAGGAGGTCTTAGTTCAGTGATGAAAAAAAAAATCTCTGGATCTCAATTTCCTTACCTGCGAAGTGGGAAACAATGCTAACCACAGCGCTGTTGTGAAGATTGCAGGAGCCCCGCACACGGTGGACACCCATTGGGCACCACGATTGCTGTTGTTCTCGGTGATGCTGACATAGGTCTGGAAGGGAGTGGAATATTGATCTTGCAGTGAGGTCGGGGAGAGGGTGATGGCTCCTTCCCACCTCTTCTGTAAGGCCAGGTGTGGGAAATGTGGATTCTTGGGTAACAGTGAATAACTCTATTGATAAAGCAGTTGGAAAAATAATTATGACTGAATCATTTTTGGGGTCTTGCTTCAGAAGTAACTGGAAGTTGAAACTCCACTGTTTTCTGGACATTTCAGACTAGTCATGATCTTAGGACCTGCCTGGCATCCTGGCTTGATGATGAGTTAACTTTTAATAATTTTTAAAAAACTACTTTCAGCCATGCTCTTGAGTCTATTGGCTGGAGATGGGAATCGGGGTGAGGCAGGAAAGCCCTGCCTGAACTCTCTTCCAATGCCATCTGCCACCTCTTGGGCAACTGATGTCAAAAACAGGTTCTCTGAAATTCATGGTCTAAAACAGGTGAGGCAGGGTGCTTTCCAACCAGAAGCCATCCCTCGATTCTCCTCACTGTGTGACACTGAGTGGGGCACGGGTGGAGAGGCCAGCAAGCTCCGAATTCACAGATGGACTTCCAACATGATACGGACAGACAAGGCAGTCTTTGGGTACCAAGCTCTCTAGATCACAGCCATCTTTCCCTGACCTGGGGGGTCCCCACAGAGGAAGGCTAATCAGGCAGAGGAGCGGGACATAACAGAGGGCTAGGGTGGCTGAGCGCTCTTTTTCTTCATCTCATAGATCCTGAAAATCCCAAAGTTGCATCTTTCTCCAGCCGTGTTGGTTCCCAGGCTAAAGGCCATTTGAGGACACGGTGGGGACTTATGCCATGTGGGGGTATGGCACTGGATAGAATTAACCCCAAGGCAAGCAGCTGCCATTTATTTTATCTTGGGAACTCCTTTTTTAAAAAAAGATTTTATTTAAATAAAAAAATTATTTATTTAAATAAATAAACCTCTCAGAGAGAGAGCACAAGCAGGGGGAAGGGCAGAGGGAGAGGGAGAAGTAGACTCCCCACTGAGCAGGGAGTCCGACATGGGGCTCCACCCCAGGACCCCAGGATCATGGCC